ACCTCATGAGCTGACCGGCCCCAGGCAGTTCATACATATTTGCTTTTAGTCATCAAGTACCTTCATCTGGATTCGAACTCGGGTCTGTATTTCAACAGTTCATGGGTGTACCCACTGAGCTAGGCTCTCGGGTTCAACCACAGGTTTCGACCTGGATCTGTGTGTCTGTCTGTGTGTGCGTGTGTGTGCAATCCCGACCCCTCTGTCTCTCTGCGTCTGCATGCGGGCCTGTTTTATGTGTTTCTGTTTGTTTGTTTGTTTGTTTGTGTGTTTGTTTGTTTGTGCGTTGTTTGTTTGATAATGTGCGCGTGCCTACGTGCGTGCGTGCGTGCTGTGTTTGGGCGTCGCCGCACGGCACACGAAACGTAAAACGAAACGCGTGCATCTTCTTGCAGAGAATGGCCAGGTTCATCGATTTGCTATAAATAGTAACGAGTGTATTTTTCCATCTTTCGTGGGCAGATGCACTCGTTTCGTTTTCGTTTCGTGTGCCGTGTGGCGAGGCCCTTTGTTTGTGCATGTGTGTGCGCGTTCTCTCTGTGTGTGTGTGTGTGTGTGTGTGTGTGTGTGTGTGTGTGTGTGTGCGGTGTGGTGAACTGAAGAGTCCCGATCTCCTTTCTTCTCTTTTCCCGAGGAAATAAGCGTTCTTGTGGTTTCGAGTATCGGCCCGTTGGTTCCTGGGGTTCCTGGTCCCCCTAAAGAGCACTGAGGATTGATCATTACGTGGACAATTACAAAACACAAGATAAGAGCAAGGGCAAATGGCTGGCTGCGTTTCTGGTGTGAGTAAGCCGCAAGCTTATGATGACTACCACGATCGTGATGCACTCTCGACATGCGGCTCGCATGTAACAACTGTCTACACTACACTACAGTCATCATTTTCATCTCGTTTCTCTTGTGTAGCTTGTCTTCTCTTCTTCCTCTTCTTCTTGGCTTTCATTCGTCCTTATCCGTTTCACTCAAAATTTTCGATCTCCACTTTCCCAGCACGCCGGTCCCAACAGTAACCTTTTTCCCAAGTGGGGAGGGCAAGGTTCTGTGTCTGCCCAAAATACCCCCGGGCCCCGGCCCCCGCGCATCATCGTCAGTTGTGCACAGTGTTGAAGTTCCCTCCGGTGAGCTGGCCAGTGCATTCTTGAAGAATTACTGTGTCGGCCCGGCACTTAAACCTTGGCATGGTATGAGGGTTTTTGACTTCAGTGGGCATGACCATACCCCTCTCCAAACAGCAGACTTCACCACCCTCTTAACAACGTTAGCTGCCAGCGTGCAGTCTGATGAGCAGTTAATCCCCTCGTTTGAGGGCAATCAACGCTGCCCATCAGCTACAATTCATAACTTGCTCTGTTTTCTGTAATTGGGGGACGCTTGAGACGCTTGGGACGCTTGGGACGCTGGACCCGGTTTCCAGGTGGTGCAGGTCCCCACCAAAAAAAAAAAAAAAAAAAAAAAAAAAAAAAAAAAAAAAAAAAAAGAAAAGAGTAGGCAAATCCAGCGGCCCTCTTTCGGCCTGCATAGTTCCCACTCCTTGTCCAGTGTGTCAGAGGTGGTGACCTTCTTCCACCAACGGTCTCTGCTCTGATCAGCCCACCTTGCCAACAAGGCATTAGTCCAGCTACCGTCTGATGGGCCACCAGGCCAAGCTGGCCAACACAAGGAATTAATCCATGCCAGTACATGGCCTCAGCGCTGTAAGACATTGAATGATTGAAGCCAACACTGCCAACAGTGCCCAAATTTTGACAGCTCGGAGCTGCTGGCACCAGCTCGAAAAAAGAAACAAAAGTGCTTGGCTGGCGGCTGGGAAAAGCTTGGCGTGCAGCGCAGTGCCTCCAGCCCGAGTGTGTATTAGTGGGTAAGTTAAACCTGTCACTGTGCTGCTGGGTCTTAAATTCCCAAGCCCTCCGGTTCACCTTTTTACCACCATAAGGACACCAATCACTTTCTTTGGTGCCACCTTTTAGCAATATAACGAATGTTCAAATGGGACGGTCCTTTCCACAGGTAGATTCTAGACATGGATTGAATTGTATGCAAAACAACCAGTACTTGGCCGCGGCTATAGGCCGCGGAAAAAATAGAGTAGAAACGTTTCTAGTCGGATGAATCATGAATTTGGACGCTATTGTAGTGGCCCATACGATGGCTTGTTAGCGGGCACAACTTTAGGAAGTACTGGTGGTTTAAGCTTTGTTCTCCAATTCTTTGGCAGACCAAGGGTACCAGTGGTGGGTTTTCGTTTTGTTAGCGTTTAGGGTTTAGGGTTTAGGGCTTAGGGTTTAGGGTTTAGGGTTTAGGGTGTTGGGTTTACTAGGGTTTCCCTCCATAAACAGGAAAATGAAGTCAGTCCATGAAAGCAAGTTCGCTCTGTGGTGGTTTTCTAGCCGTAGTAGTGATTAGTTGTATTAGCCTTGTAGGGAAAATGAAATATAATTTAGCAGAAAGTAAAGGGAAACAAGAAAAAAAAATGCTTAAAAAAAAAAAAAAAGCTTGGCCAAAGTCTTATGGTTTGTTACAATGCACCCAGACTCCTTGCTAGCCGGTCTGCAGAATGTGCCTTCACGTCGCAGCAATGGGCCCATCAGATCTTTCATCTGGCAGGCCGCATCGCGGAGTAATTTTGTAATAGTCCTAGTAGTTGTAGTAGTAGTAGTAGTAGTGGTCGTCTTCACTCGAAATGGAATGCCCAGACATTGTTGCTGCATCTTGAATGGAAGCTGAGCCAAATACAGATATAATGACCGGGCATTCTATTCGGGGGAGAAGACAGTGACTGTAATTATAGTAGCAGTAGTAGGAGTACTCATGCCTTAACTGCACCTCTAAACGCTATGCAGTGATGCATGCAAGCTCATGCAGAATCATGGTTGCACGTAGGTGTATTATATGCATGCAGTGACATGAACATGTTGGACGAGTTGGGAATGAATATGCGCATGCGGTGGCATTACATCTCCATGCACACCACTTGCATGTCGGATGGGATTGCGGACATGCGTTTATGCATGCATACGTTGGAGGACTGTCTGGATATCTGCACATGGTGGCATTACGTCTGCATGCACACAACTTAACTACGTCCATCTGAATGGGATTGCGGACATGCATTTATGCATGCATACGTTAGAGGACTGTATGGATATCCGCACGTGGTGGCATTACGTCTGCATGCACACAACTTAACTACGTGCATCTGACCAGGCCTGCACACTGCTTTTGTCTCCATTGCCCAAGCATGCACATGTGTTTGTGCAGTATTCGACCATAATCCAACCCGTTCTCTTCTCTCTCTCTCTCTCTCTCTCTCTCTCTCTCTCTCTCTCTCTCTCTCTCTCTCTCTCTCTCTCTCTCTCTCTCTCTCTCTCTC